TAGAGGTTTTTTTGGGTTTTTTAAAGGGATTTTTTTAGATTTTTGGGAATTTTAAGGGATTTTTTTGGATTTTTAAAGGGGTTTTTTGGGGGATTTTTTTGGGATTTTTGGGAGATTTTTGGGGGATATTTTTGGGATATTTTGGGGATTTTTGAGGGCAGTTTTGTTGATTTTTTTGGGAATTTTTAGGGGACTTTTTGGGGGGGTTTTGGGGGAATTTTTTTAGATTTTTTTGGGGTTTTTTTGGGGTTTTTTGTGGTTTTTTTTAAATTTTTTTAGGATTTTTGGTGTTTTTTGGGAATTTTTGGGGTTTTTTTGGGTTTATTTGGATTTTTTAGGAATTTTTGGGGGAGGATTTTGGGATTTTTTTGGGGGGGGTTGAGGAGTTTATTTTGATTTTTTGAGGTTTTTTTGGGTTTTTTTTTTTTTTTGTGGGGGGTTTTGGGGTTTTTTTTTTTTTTTTTTTTTTTTTTTGTTTTTTTTGGTTTTTTTTTTTTTTTTTTTTTTTTTGGTGATTTTTGGGGGTTTTTAGGGGGCTTTATTTGGAATTTTTGGGGCATTTTTGGGGATTTTTTTAGTGCAATTTTGGGATTTTTTTGAGGAGTTTATTTGGATTTTTTTGGGAATTTTTTGCGATTTTTTGGGGGTTTTTAGGGGGCTTTATTTGGAATATTTGGGGCATTTTTGGGGATTTTTTGGCGCAGTTTTTGGGGAGTTTTGAGGAGTTTTTTTTTATTTTTGGTGGGGAAATTTCGGGATTTTTTTGTTTTGTTTTTGGGGTTTTTTTTGGGGGGGACTTTGGTACTTTTTAGGATTTTTTTAGGGATTTCTTTTAGATTTTATTTTGGTTTTTTGGGGGATTTTTGGGTTTTTTTTAGAGTTTTTTGGGGGATTTTTTTTAGAATTTTTTGTTGTTGTTTTTGGGGGGGTTGGTATTTTTGGGGATTTTTAGGGTAATTTTTAGGGGTATTTTTGGGATTTTTTGGGGGGAATTTTTTGGGGGATTTTTTAAGGTTTTTTGGGATTTTTTTAGGGATTTTGTTTTGGGTTTTTTTTGTTTGTTTTTTAGGGTTTTTTAGGATTTTTTGGGGGGTTTTTTGGGATTTTTAAAGGATTTTTGGGGTTTTCTTGGGATTTTTTTAAGGATTTTTTTGGGTTTTTTTGTTTGGTTTTTAGGCGTTTTTTAGGATTTTTTGGGGTTTTTTTTGGGGATTTTTTAAGGATATTTTGGGGTTTTTTGGGATTTTTTTTAGGATTTTTGGGGAGGTTTTTTTGGGATTTTTTTAGGAGTTTTTTAAGATTTTTTGGGTTTTTTTGGGGGGTTTTTTAAGGATATTTTGGGGTTTTTTGGGATTTTGGGGGGTTTTGTTTTGAGGTTTTTTGGGGTTTTTTTGTTTGGTTTTTGGGCGTTTTTTAGGATTTTTGGGGGGGGTTTTTTGGGATTTTTTTAGGAATTTTTGGGGTTTTTTGTTCTTCCCCTCTGACCCCTCCCCCACTCCCAAAATTTGGGAATTTTCATTTTTTTCCCTTTTGTTTTTTTTTATTTTCCAGGATCTCTGCGGCCCCTCCCCCCTCCAGGAGCTCCAAATTCCCGAATTTTCCCCCCAAATTCCCGAGGGGGGAGGGGGAACCCCAGCGCCCCCTCCCCCACTCTGCACAGGTCAGTGCTGCCCAAAATTGGGGGAAAAAACGAGAATTTTGGGAAAAAATATCAAAAAGTGGGGGAAAATGGGAAATTTTGGGGAAAAAAATTGGATTTTTGGGGAAAGAATGGTGGAAAAAATGGGGGAAAAATTGGAATTTTGGGAAAAAATGTGAAAAAGCGGGGGGAAAATGGGAAATTTTGGGGAAAAATGGGGAAAAAATTAGATTTTGGAAAAAAATGGGGGAAAAATTGGATTTTTGGAAAAAAAAAAGGAAAAAATGATGGGAAAATGGGGAAAAATTGGAAATTTATGGAAGAAATGGGGGAAAAACAGAAAAAAATTGGGGGGAAAGGGAAAAATGGATTTTTGGGGAAGAAAAAAGGGGAAAGAATGATGGAAAAATGGGGGGGAAATTGGAAATTTGGGAAAAAATATTTAAAAAGTGGGGGGAAAATGGGAGATTTTGTGGGAAAAAATGAGGGAAAAATTGGAAAAAATATTTAAAAAATTGAATTTTGGGATAAAAATGGGAAGAAATAGGAAAAAATGGGGAAAAAATTGGAATTTTGGAGGAAAAAAAGGAAAAAATTGTGGAAAAAAAGAGGGAAAATGGGGAAAAAATTGGAATTTTGGGGAAAAAAAGGGAAAGAATGGTGGAAAAATGGGGAAAAAATGAGGGAAAAAATGGAAAAATATTTTAAAAATGGAATTTTGGAGGAAAAAAGGAAAAAATTGTGGGAAAAATGGGGAAAAAATTGGAATTTTGGAGGAAAAAAAGGAAAAAATTGTGGAAAAAAAGAGGGAAAATGGGGAAAAAATTGGAATTTTGGGAAAAAACCCTGGAATTTAGGGGGTGAAATGGGGAAAAAAATTGGAATTTTGGGGGGAAAATGGGGGAAAAAAGGAAAGAAATTGGAATTCACAGGATTTGAAATTGAATTTTCATGTTAAAAATAATTTAAAATTAATATTTAACAGCATTTAAAATGATATTTTCACGTGAAGATTCAATTTACATTAAATTTTAATATTAAAATTAAGTTAAAATTAACGTTTAGCAGGATTATAAAATTCAAATTCAGCATAGAAATTAATTTTTAACACTTCAGTTAATTAAAAATTAACGTTTAAACAGGATTTCAAATTAATTTTTAACAGGATTGGACTCTGCCCTTGGATTGGTGAGGGCTGAGTTTGATTTTTTCCTCCTTTTTTTAAGAATTTTGTCTCTTTTTAAAGAGAATTTTCAGGAATTTTCAGGAATTCTTTCACCCTCAGTGAAATTTGGGGTGGAAACCTCAAATTTTAATTTTTTTCTCATTTTTAAAGCAATTTTGGGGCATTTTAATGAGATTTCTTTTTAATTTTAGGGATTTTTTTAAAGCAGGTTTTAATTTGCTTTTCCCCCACTTTTTCCCTGTTTTTAAATTAATTTTGGGGGATTTTTTGGATAATTTTATGAATTTTTATTTATTTCAATCACAAAGTTTCAATTCTTCTTTTGAGGAAGGATTTTGGGGGCACAAAAAGGGAATTTTGGGGCCTGAAATTTGGGAATTTTGGCTTTTTTGTGCCTCTAGTTTAGAAATAGTGAATTTTACATGATTGAAAATTGGAAATTTTGGCTTTTTTTGTGCCTCTAGTTTAGAAATAGTGAATTTTACATGATTGAAAATTGGAAATTTTGGCTTTTTTTGTGCCTCTAGTTTAGAAATAGTGAATTTTACATGATTGAAAATTGGAATTTTTGGCTTTTTTGTGCCCCTAATTTGAGAATTTCTATTTTTTTTCTGTCCAAAATTTAGGAATTGTGAGTTTTACATGCCTGAAAATTGGAATTTTTGGCTTTTTTGTGCCCCTAATTTGAGAATTTCTACTTTTTTCTGCCCAAAATTTAGGAATTGTGACTTTTATGTGCCTGAAAATTGGAAATTTTGGCTTTTTTGTGCCCCTAATTTGAGAATTTCTACTTTTTTGTGCCCAAAATTTAGGAATTGTGAGTTTTACATGCCTGAAAATTGGAATTTTTGGCTTTTTTGTGGCTCTAACTTAGGAATTTTTGACTTTTCCTCACCTTAAATTTGGGAATTTTGGCTTTTTTTGTGCCTTTAATTGAGAAATTGTCAATTTTCTGTGCCTAAAACTTGGGAATTTTGACTTTTCTTCACCCAAAATTCAGGAATTTTGACTTTTTTTGTGCCTCTAATTTAGGAACTGTGACTTTGGCACACCTGAAACGTGGGAATTGCCCATTTCCTCCATTTCTAACCTCATTTCTGACCCCAAATTCCCCTTTTTTCACCATTTTTAACCCTGAATTTCTGGTTTCCCCCTTTTCTAACCCCGTTTTTAACCCAAATTTTCTTTTTTTCCCTCCTTTTCCCCCAGCCCCAAGTGAAGGATGCTGAACAAGAGCAGCCCGAGCTCTGCTGACCCAAAAATTGGCAATTTTGCCTTTTTTTGTGCTCCTAATTTAAGAATTTTTGACCTTTTTTTACCTTTAAAATTTACAAATTATAACTTTTTCAGTTTTGGGTCTAATTTAGAAATTGTAACTTTTTTGTGCTTTTAATTTAGAAATTCTGACTTTTCCACACCTGAAAATTGGGAATTTTGGCTTTTTCTCCTCCAAATTCCAATAATTGCTCATTATCTCCCATTTCTAACCCCAAATTTCCCTTTTTCCCCATTTCTAACCCCAAATTTCCCTTTTCTCCCATTTCTAACCCCAAATTTCCCTTTTCTCCCATTTCTAACCCCAAATTTCCCTTTTCCCCCATTTCTAACCCCAATTCCCTCTCCCGCAGCCCCATGTGAAGGATGCTGAAGAAGAGCAGCCTGGCTCTGCTGGGTGCCGCGCTCTTCCTCGCCTGGAACGGGCTGCTGCTCCTCTTCCTCTGGGGCCGCCCCGGGGCCCCACCGAGCGCCCCGAACCCGCAGCTCGGCCCGGACTCGCGCCTGCTGCCGGCGCAGCTGCTGCAGCTGGCGCAGGACGCCGAGGCCGAGCTGCGCCTGCAGCGCGACCTGCTGCTGCAGATCCAGCAGCTGGGCCGGCTGCAGCGCCGCAGGACGCCGAAACCCGCCCGGAAAACGCCAAAACCGCCCGGAAAAGCGGCTGAAATCGCCGCCGAGCCGCCGGTGCTGCCGGTGCTGGTGCTGGCCTGCGACCGCAGCTCGGTGCGGCGCTGCCTGGATAAAATCCTGCGCTACCGGCCCAGCGCGCGGCGCTTCCCGGTGATCGTCTCGCAGGACTGCGGCCACGCCGAGACCGCCGCTGTCATCGCCTCGTACGGCGCGGCCGTGGCGCACATCCGGCAGCCCGACCTCGGCGACGTGCCGGTGCCGCCGGAGCACCGCAAGTTCCAGGGCTACTACAAGATCTCGCGGCACTACCGCTGGGCGCTGGGGCAGGTGTTCCGCACCTTCCGCTACCGCGCCGCCATCGTGGTGGAGGACGACTTGGAGGTGGCGCCGGATTTCTTCGAGTACTTCCAGGCGGTGCTGCCGCTGCTGCAGGAGGACCGCAGCCTGTGGTGCGCCTCGGCGTGGAACGACAACGGCAAGGAGGGCTTGGTGGACGCCGGCAGGGCCGAGCTGCTCTACCGCACCGACTTCTTCCCCGGTTTGGGCTGGCTGCTGCTGGCCGAGCTCTGGGACGAGCTGGAGCCCAAATGGCCGCCGGCGTTTTGGGATGATTGGATGCGGCAGCCCGAGCAGCGGCGCGGCCGGGCGTGCGTCCGGCCCGAGGTGTCCAGGACGATGACCTTCGGCCGCAAGGGCGTGAGCCACGGGCAGTTCTATGACCAGTACTTAAAGTTCATCAAACTCAACGACCGCTTCGTGCCTTTCACCCAAATGGACCTTTCTTACCTCAAAAAGGACGAGTACGAGCGATTCTTCCTGCAGCAGGTTTACTCCGCGCCCGAAATCCGCCTGGAGGAGCTGCAGAAGGATTCGGGGAGGGATTTGGGGGCGGTCAGGCTCCAGTACCGGGGCAGGGATTCCTTCAAGGCTTTGGCCAAAGCCTTGGGCTTGATGGACGACCTCAAATCCGGCGTCCCCCGCGCCGGCTACCGCGGCGTCGTCAGCTTCGTGTGCCGGGGCCGCCGCGTCTTCCTGGCCCCCCCCTCGGACTGGACGGGCTACGACCCCTCCTGGAGCTGAGGGTGGGATTTTGGGGGGGATTTCCCCCCTTTTTTTGGGGGGGTTTTGCAGAATAAAAGGTGAGGAAACGTGGGGGTTCCACCACCCCGCCCCCGCGCCGTTTGCATCACTGCCATTTGCATCCTGACATTGGTTTAAAAGTCCTTATCTCTAAATTTGGGGAAATTTTGGCTTTTTTTTGGGGGTGGGTTTGGCGCTGGCGGGGTTCAAGAGGCGGACGTGGGGCAGGGGTTTTCAGAATAAAAGGTGAAAAACGGGGGATTCTCCCCACAATCCCAGGTTTGTTTCGCTGCCACGTCCGTCTGAATCTCATCCCGAAATTCAGGAATTTAAAAAGTCCCTTTTGGGCTTAAATTTGGCTTTTTTGGGGGGCATATGGTGAAGGCAGAACATCCCCAAAGGAACCAACGGCAGGATTTGGTGACACCACCAAGTGCCCAAACGTGATTAAATTAACTCCAATCCAGGCGGGAATGCCCCGTGCCTTTTCCGGGGGGAGGAATTTTAGGAGGAAATGCTGAAATCTTGTAAACCACAAGCATGGAACCCCTCAGGAACAGGCCGGGGGTCCCACCTGGAGCCACTCAAACAGCTCCATGCCGCTCTCAGGGTCCTGCGGGGGCGTCCCTGCTCCATCCCCAACTCACCCACAGCCATTTCTTGGCCTCTGGAACATTCTGGGACATTCCAGGCCCATTCCTTCCCCCCACCATCTTGAGGCGTTACTCCCCACCTCACAGATCCCTTATATACCCCGCGCAGAGCCCGCCCCTCGCTGCCATTGGTTGATTTTCCCGCCCAAAACCCAGCGCTCGTTCTGATTGGCCGCACGCCCCGTCGCTCATCGTTTCCCGAGAGTTGATTGGCCAGGGCGGCGCTGAGGGGCCACCCCGCCTCGTCCCCTCACGGCGGCGGTCATGGCGCGGCCGCGGTCTCGGCGCGGATTTCGCAGGTTTTTATCGCCCTCGTTCTCTCGTTTATTGCGCGGTAAATGCTGGTGAAGCGCCCCCGGTGCCGCTCGTGTTCCCGTGGCACCGGCAGACCCCGGCCCTCCCCTGCTGCCCCGCACAGCGCCACAGCCGCGGCCTTTCCCGGTGCTCCCAGTCCGGACAGGGAGGAGGAGGAGGAGAGAGGGGGTGGGGATGAAGAACAGGAGGAGGAAGAGCAGGGTGAGGATGGAGATGGAGGAGGAGAAAGGGATGGGGATGAAGAAGAGGAGGAAGAGGAAGAGAACGGGCTGAGGATGGAGGTTGGAGATGGAGAATAGGAGGACAAGGAGGAGGAGAATGGGAAAGGGATGAAGAAGGGGAGGAAGAGGAGGAGAAGAGCGAGATGAAGAGGAGGAGAGCAGGATGGGGATGAAGAAGGGAAGGAAGAGGAGGAGAACGAGGTGAGGATGGAGATGGAGGAGGAGGAGGAGCGCGGGATGAGGATGAAGAGGAGGAGGGAGGGATGAGGAAGGAGATGGAGAAGAATGGAATATGGATGAAGAAGAGGAAGAGGAGAATGGAATAGGGACAAAGAAGAGGAGGAGAACAGAATAGGGATGAAGAGGAGGAGGAGAAGAACGGAATGGGGATGAAGAAATGGGAGAGGGATGAAGAAGGGGAGGAAGAGGAGGAGAAGAGCGAGATGAGGATGGAGATGGAGGAGGAGGAAAAGGGGGATGAGGAGGAGGACGAGAGCAGGATGGGGATGAAGAAGAGGAGGAAGAGGAGAAGAGCAGGATGGGGATAAGAACAGAATAGGGATGAAGAAGAGGAAGAGAAGAATGGAATAGAGATGAAGAAGAGGAGGAGAAGAAGAACGGAATGGGGATGAAGAATAGCAGAACAGAATAGGGATGAAGAGGAGGAGGAGAAGAACGGAATGGGGATGAAGAAGAGGAGGAAGAGGAGAAGAGCAGGATGGGGATGAAGAAGGGGAGGAAGAGGAGGAGAAGGAGAGGCTGAGGATGAAGAACAGGAGGAGGAGGAGCACAGGATGAGGATGAAGAGGAGGAGAGCGGGATGAGGAAGGAGATGGAGAAGAGGAGGAGAAGAATGGAATAGGGATGAAGAAGGAGATGAAGAAGAGGAGGAGGAGAGTGGGATGGGGATGAAGAAGAGGAGGAGGAGGAGAACGAAAGAGGAATGAAGAAGAGGAAGAGAATTAATGGAATAGGGATGAAGAGGAAGAGGAGGAGAATGGAGTAGGGATGAAGAAGAAGAGGAGAAGAACGGAATGGGGATGAAGAAGAGGAGGAAGAGGAGAACAGAAGAGGAATGAAGAGGAGGAGAACGGAGTAGGGATGAAGAGGAGGAGGAGAAGAGAACAGGGATGAAGAAGAGGAGGAAGAGGAGAATGGAATAAGGATGAAGAAGAGGAGGAGAACAGAATGGGGATGAAGAAGAGGAAGAGGAGAAGAACGAAATGAGGATGAAGAAGAGGAGAACGGATTAGGGATGAAGAAGAGGAGGAAGAGGAGAATGGAATAAGGATGAAGAAGAGGAGGAGAACAGAATGAGGATGAAGAGCAGGAGGAGGAGGAGGATGAAGAGCAGGAGGAGAACAGGAGGATGATGAAGAGCAGGAGGAGGAGGAGGACGAGGATGATGAAGAGGAGGAGGAGGAGGAGGAGAACAGAATGAGGATGAAGAGCAGCAGGAGGCCCCCCCCCAAAACCCCCCCCCAAAACCCCCCTCCCCAAAATCCCCCTTCCCAAAATCCTCCCCCAAAACCCCCCTCCCCAAAACACCCCAAAAAATCAAACCCGGGGGGCGAAACCCGTGGGTTTTAACGGCAAATCCTGCTGGGCCGGAGCCCCATCCAGCCTGAATTTGCCTTTTTTTGGTGCTTTTTGGTGTTTTTTGGTGCTTTTTGGTGCTTTTGGGGCAGATTTCCCCATCCCCAAGCCCAACATCGTGTCGCGGCTGGAGCCCGAGGAGGAGCTGGGGGTGCCGGACCCCAACGACTCCAAGGAGTGGGAGATCCTCAGGGTGGCCCCTGCAGGTGAGCTGGGACCCCTCCCCACCCTTTTCCCTTCTCCCCCAGACCCTTTTCTATTTATTTCCCATTTTTTTGTTTATTTCCCCTTTTTTTCCTCTAATTTTTTCCCCTAATTTTTCCCCCCAATTTCCTTTTTTTTCCAATCCCCATTTTCCCCTCTTGCCTTTTCCCCCTTTTCCCTTCATTCCCTTTTTTTTTCCATCCCCTTTTTTTTCCAATTTTCTTTTTTTCCCCATCTCCTTTTCCCCCCACAATCCAATTTTTTTTCCCCATCCCCTTTTTTTTTTTCCCCACTTTTCCCATTTCCCCATTATTTTCCCATTATTCCCCCCCTTTTTCCCCATTATTTCCCCCAAATTTTCCCCATTATCCCCCCTATTATTTTCCCCATTATTTCCCCATTGTTCCCCATTTCCCCTCCATTTTCCCCCATTATTTCCCCTATTTTCCTCCATCATTTCCACAATTTTTCCCAATTTCCCCCTTTTTTCCCAATTTCCCCCATTATTCCTCAATTTTTCCCAATTTCCCCCCTTACCCCCCCCCTCTTTTCCCCAATTCCCCCCAAAATCCCCCAATTTTTCTCAATTTCCCCCAAATTTTCCCCTTTATTCCCCCATAATTTCTTTAATTATTCCCCGCCGGGGGCGGGGCCGGCGCGGCGGTGGGCGTGGCCAGCCGGCCCCGCCCCCCAAGCCCTTCACCTGCCTGGCGTGCGGCAAGGGCTTCACGCGCAGCTCCAACCGCAACGCGCACCTGCGCACGCACCTGCCCCTGGGCCACGCCCCCCAGCGGGCCCGCCCCCTGCGCCAGGTGAGCCCGCGGCGCTTCGGGTGCGGCCAGTGCGGGCGGAGCTTCGGCCGCGGCGCCCACCTGAGCGCGCACCTGCGCGCGCACCTGGGCGAGCGGCCCTACACCTGCGCCGAGTGTGGGCGGGGCTTCAGCTACAGCTCCGCCTTCCTCAAGCACCGCCGCGCCCACGGGCAGCCGGAGGAGGAGGGGAGGAAGAGGAGGAGGAGGAAGGGCGCGCCCGGGCTCACCTGTGCCGGGCACACCTGTCCGCGCTGCGGGGCGGGGTTTGCAGACGGCCACGCCCTCCTGGCGCACCTGCACGGGCACGCCGCGGACACGCCCCTGGGCTGTGCCACGCCCGACGTGTGTGCCACGCCCCTGGGCTGTGCCACGCCCTACACCTGCGGGGATTGTGGGAAGGGCTTCGGGGGAAGCTCCGCCCTCATCCGGCACCAGCGGCTGCACCTGGGCTAGGAGGGACCAGAACCGGAACCGGAACCGGAACCGGAACTGGGACAGGGAAACTTCCGGAACTGGGACTGGGACTGGGACCGGAACCGGAACTGGAACTGGGACTGGGACTGTGACAGGGACCCAAACTGGGACAGGGAAACTTCTGGAACTGGAACTGGGAAACTTCTGGAACTGGAACTGGAACCGGAACTGGAACTGGAACTGGGACAGGGAAACTTCCAGAACTGGGACTGGAACTGGAACCGGAGCTGAAACCGGGACAGGGACCCAAACCGGGACAGGGAAACTTCTGGAACTGGAACCGGAACAGAGACTGGGAAACAACCGGAACTGGGACTGGGACTGAGACGGGGAAACTTCCAGAACCAGGATTGGAACTGGAACCGGAACTGGGACCGGGACTGGGAAATTTCTAGAATCAGGACCGGAACTGGGACAGGGACAGAGAAACTTCCAGAACCAGGAATGGAACTGGAACTGGGAGAGGGAACTTCCAGAAGCGGAACTGGAACTGGGACTGGAACCGGGACTGGGACTGGGACTGGGACCAGGACAGGGAAACTCTGGAACCGGGACCAGAACCCAGACCGGGAAACAGCCAAAACCAGGACTGGAGCCGGGAAACTGAGTGGAACCGGGACCAGAACCGGGACTGGGCAACACCCGGAACCGGAGCCCTCTGGACCCGGAACCGGAGCCCACTGGAACTGGAACTGGGGCCAGGACCAGAACCCGGAGTGGGACCAGCCAAAACCAGGACTGGAGCAGGGAAACTGAGTGGAACCGGAGCCCTCTGGAACCGGGACCGGGACCGGAACTGGAACCGGGACCAGAACGAGAACCTGGACTGGGAAATGGCCAAAACCAGGACTGGAGCCCTCTGGAACTGGAACCGGGACCAGGACTGGGAAACACCCGGAACCGGAGCCCTCTGGACCCGGAACTGGAACTGGAACTGGAACTGGGGCCAGGACCAGAACCCGGACTGGGACCAGCCAAAACCAGGACTGGAGCCGGGAAACTGACTGGAACCGGAGCCCACTGGGACCGGGACCAGAACCGGAACCGGGACCAGAACGAGAACCTGGACTGGGCAACACCCGGAACCGGAGCCCTCTGGAACTGGAACCGGGACTGGGAAACGGCCAAAACCAGGACTGGAGCCCTCTGGAACTGGAACTGGAACTGGAACTGGAACCGGGACCAGGACCAGAACCGGGACTGGGCAACACCCGGAACCGGAGCCCTCTGGACCCGGGACCGGAACTTGGAGCGCTCCAGAACCGGGAGGGTTCCAGTGCCAGAACTGTGACCGAGGAACTTCCAGAACCTTCCAGAACCGGGACCCCCCGGAACCAGAACTGAACCCCCCGGGTGGGGCAGGGGACGCGGGGGGGGTGTTCCTGTGCCCGCCACGGAGTTTGGGGGGACCCCGGACCCTCGGGAAGCCAGCCCCGACCCCAAAATCCATCACGGACCCCCCAAAATCCAGCCCCGACACCAAAACCCAGCCCCGACCCCCCAAAATCCATCCGGGACCTCCCAAAATCCATCCCGGACGCCAAAATCCATCCAGGAACCCCCAAATCCATCCCGGATTCCCCAAAATCCATCCCAGACCCCAAAATTCATCCCGGATGCCAAAATCCATCACGAACCCCCCAACACCCAGCCCGGACCCCAAAACCCATCCCAAAATCCATTCTAGACCCCGAAATCCATCCCAGACCCCCCCGAAATCCATCCCAGACCCCCCAAAATCCATTCCAGACCCCCCAAAATCCATCCCGGACCTCCCAAAATCCATCCCTGACCCCCCAAATCCATCCCGGACCCCCCAAAATCCATCCCGGACCCCCCAAACCCATTCTGGACCCCAAAATTCATCCCAGACACCAAAATCCATTCCAGACCTTTGGGAATCGATTCCTGACCCCCCAAAATCCATTCTGGACCCCAAAATCCATTCCGGACCCCCCAAATCCATTCAAGAGCCCCCCAAAATCCATTCGGGACCCCAAAATCCATCCCGGACCCCCCAAAAATCCATTCCTGACCCCCAAAATTTCCATCCCGGACCAACCAAAATCCATCCCAGGGAAGGAGGCGGCGGGGAGGGGGAGGGGCGCGGGGGGCGGCGAGCCCCGCAACGGCTGCGGGGGGTGCGGGCTGGCCGGACACCGGAGTGACCACCGGAGTGACCACTGCCGGAGTGACCACAGCATTGACCACGGGAGTGACCGCGGGAGTGACCACCGCCGGAGTGACCAGTGCCGGAGTGACCACCGGAGTGACCGCGGGAGTGACCACCGGAGTGACCGCGGGAGTGACCATCGGAGTGACCACTGCGGGAGTGACCGCGGGAGTGACCATCAGAGTGACCACTGCGGGAGTGACCGCGGGAGTGACCATCAGAGTGACCACGGGAGTGACCAGTGCCGGAGTGACCGCGGGAGTGACCACCGGAGTGACCACGGGAGTGACCATCAGAGTGACCACCGGAGTGACCACGGGAGTGACCAGTGCCGGAGTGACCGCGGGAGTGACCATCGGAGTGACCAGTGCCGGAGTGACCACACGAGTGAGCACCAGAGTGACCACCGGAGTGACCATGGACACAGGAGTGACCACCGGAGTGACCGCGGGATTGACCATCGGAGTGACCACGGACACAGGAGTGACCACGGGAGTGACCACAGCACTGACCACTGCCAGAGTGACCACCACAGTGACCATGGACAGGGGAGTGACCACAGGAGTGACCATGGCCGCAGTGACCACAGCACTGACTACAGGAGTGACCACAGACACGGGAGTGACCATGGACATAGGAGTGGCCACAGGAGTGACCGCGGGAGTGACCACGAGAGTGACCGCAGCCACGGGAGTGACCACTGTGGTGACCAAGGGAGTGACCACGGCCACAGGGGTGACCACTGTGCTGACCACGGCTCCGGACACAGCCCTGACCATCGCAGCGGTCAGTGGGGCCACTCCGGACAGCTGGACATCAGTAATGGTCAGCAGGAGCACAGCAGCGGTCAGCGAGGTGGCCACAGACAGAGGAGTGACCACAGCAGCGGTCAGCGGGGCGGCTCCGGACAGAGGAGTGACCACAGCAGCGGTCAGCGGGGCGGCTCCGGACAGAGGAGTGACCACAGCAGCGGTCAGCGGGGCGGCTCCGGACAGCCGGACACGGCCGGCGATGACCAGCACCCCCCCCAGAGCAGCGGTCAGCAGCAGGGCAGCGATGACCACAGCGGTGACCACAGCGGTGACCACAGCAGTGACCACAGCGATGACCACAGCGGTGACCGAGCCGACTGCCCCCACGCCGGTGCTGAGCCCGGGGGTGACCACTGTCCACTCAGCTGCCCAGACTGCGGCCAAAGTTTCACCCTGAGCGTCCAGCGGCAGCGCCGCGGCCACACCGCACTGACCGGGACTGGCCAGGCCACAGTGACCAGAACCAGCCAGGCCACGCTGACCAGAACTGGCCACGCCACGGTGACCAGCACCGGCCGGAGCCGCGGTCACACCGCACTGACCAGTGCTGGCCGGAGCTGTGGCCACACCCCACTGACCAGCACCAGCCACACCAAGGTGACCAGCTCTGGCCAGAGCTGTGGCCGGGCTGCACTGACCAGTACCAGCCAGGCCACGCTGACCAGAACCAGCCAGGCCACGCTGACCAGAACCAGCCATGCCACGCTGACTGTCCCCGGCCGGAGCTCTGGCCACACCACACTGACCAGAACTGGCCGGAGCTGTGGCCGGGCTGCACTGACCAGTACCAGCCAGGCCACGCTGACCAGCCCTGCCCAGGCCACGCTGACCAGTACTAGCCAGGCCACGCTGACCAGTACCAGCCAGGCCACGCTGACCAGTACCAGCCAGGCCACGCTGACCAGAACCAGCCAGGCCACGCTGACCAGAACCAGCCAGGCCACGCTGACCAGCCCTGCCCAGGCCACGCTGACCAGTACCAGCCAGGCCACGCTGACCAGTCCTGCCCAGGCCACGCTGACCATCGCCCGCCGGCCGCACGAGTGCCTGGACTGCGGCAAATCCCTGCAGCCGCGCCGCCGCTCCGGCCAGTCCGGTCACTCTGTCCACTCCGGCCGCTCCGGCCGCAGGCCCGCGGCGCCGGGCGTCCCCAACACGTGCGGCGAGTGCTGGCAGAGCTTCGGGCAGAGCTCGGACCTGGCCAAGCACCTGCGCATCCACACGGGCGAGAAGCCGTACGCCTGCGGGCACTGCGGCAAGCGCTTCAACGTCAGCTCCAACCTGATCCGGCACCGGCGCATCCACACCGGGGAGCGGCCGTACGGCTGCGCCGACTGCGGCAAGAGCTTCACCGACAAGTCCACGCTGAGCCAGCACCGGCGCACGCACACCGGGGAGCGCCCGTACGCCTGCGGGCTCTGCGGCAAGAGCTTCAGCCGCAGCTCGCACCACCGGCGCCACCAGCGCACCCACGCCGGGGGAACCGGGGGTGCTGGGGGTGCTGGGGGCACCGGGGGGGTGACGCAGCTCTGGGGGTTCCCCAGCCAGGCTTGCTGAGAGGGTTTTGGTCAGGAAAATTAAAGAGAATTTGGAATATTGGGGATTTTTGGTGTTTGCTGGTCGTGGTTCCGGTGTCTTGGTCCCAGCCCAAATCCCAGTTCTGATCCCAATCCCAGTCCCAATCATGATCCCAGTCCCAGTTCTGATCCCAGTCCAATCCCAGTCCCAGACTTGGTCCCATCCCATCCCAGTCCATCCCAGCCCCATCCCATCCCAGTCCATCCCAGCCCCATCCCATCCCAGTCCATCCCAGCCCCATCCCATCCCAGTCCATCCCAGCCCCATCCCATCCCAGTCCATCCCAGCCCCATCCCATCCCAGTCCATCCCAGCCCCATCCCATCCCAGTCCATCCCAGTCCCATCCCATCCCAGCCCCGTTCCCCTGCGGGCTCTGCGGCAAGAGCTTCAGCCGCAGCTCGCACCACCGGCGCCACCAGCGCACCCACGCCGGGGGAACCGGGGGTGCTGGGGGTGCTGGGGGCACCGGGGGGGTGACGCAGCTCTGGGGGTTCCCCAGCCAGGCTTGCTGAGAGGGTTTTGGTCAGGAAAATTAAAGAGAATTTGGAATATTGGGGATTTTTGGTGTTTGCTGGTCGTGGTTCCGGTGTCTTGGTCCCAGCCCAAATCCCAGTTCTGATCCCAATCCCAGTCCCAATCATGATCCCAGTCCCAGTTCTGATCCCAGTCCAATCCCAGTCCCAGACTTGGTCCCATCCCATCCCAGTCCATCCCAGTCCCATCCCATCCCAGCCCCGTTCCCCTGCGGGCTCTGCGGCAAGAGCTTCAGCCGCAGCTCGCACCACCGGCGCCACCAGCGCACCCACGCCGGGGGAACCGGGGGTGCTGGGGGTGCTGGGGGCACCGGGGGGGTGACGCAGCTCTGGGGGTTCCCCAGCCAGGCTTGCTGAGAGGGTTTTGGTCAGGAAAATTAAAGAGAATTTGGAATATTGGGGATTTTTGGTGTTTGCTGGTCGTGGTTCCGGTGTCTTGGTCCCAGCCCAAATCCCAGTTCTGATCCCAATCCCAGTCCCAATCATGATCCCAGTCCCAGTTCTGATCCCAGTCCAATCCCAGTCCCAGACTTGGTCCCATCCCATCCCAGTCCATCCCAGTCCCATCCCATCCCAGCCCCGTTCCCCTGCGGGCTCTGCGGCAAGAGCTTCAGCCGCAGCTCGCACCACCGGCGCCACCAGCGCACCCACGCCGGGGGAACCGGGGGTGCTGGGGGTGCTGGGGGCACCGGGGGGGTGACGCAGCTCTGGGGGTTCCCCAGCCAGGCTTGCTGAGAGGGTTTTGGTCAGGAAAATTAAAGAGAATTTGGAATATTGGGGATTTTTGGTGTTTGCTGGTCGTGGTTCCGGTGTCTTGGTCCCAGCCCAAATCCCAGTTCTGATCCCAATCCCAGTCCCAATCGGCGGCTCCGGACAGCCGGACACGGCCGGCGATGACCAGCACCCCCCCCAGAGCAGCGGTCAGCAGCAGGGCAGCGATGACCACAGCGGTGACCACAGCGGTGACCACAGCAGTGACCACAGCGATGACCACAGCGGTGACCGAGCCGACTGCCCCCACGCCGGTGCTGAGCCCGGGGGTGACCACTGTCCACTCAGCTGCCCAGACTGCGGCCAAAGTTTCACCCTGAGCGTCCAGCGGCAGCGCCGCGGCCACACCGCACTGACCGGGACTGGCCAGGCCACAGTGACCAGAACCAGCCAGGCCACGCTGACCAGAACTGGCCACGCCACGGTGACCAGCACCGGCCGGAGCCGCGGTCACACCGCACTGACCAGTGCTGGCCGGAGCTGTGGCCACACCCCACTGACCAGCACCAGCCACACCAAGGTGACCAGCTCTGGCCAGAGCTGTGGCCGGGCTGCACTGACCAGTACCAGCCAGGCCACGCTGACCAGAACCAGCCAGGCCACGCTGACCAGAACCAGCCAGGCCACGCTGACCAGTGCCAGCCAGGCCACGCTGACCAGCCCTGCCCAGGCCACGCTGACCAGAACCAGGCAGGCTGCAGTGACCAGTACCAGCCAGGCCACGCTGACCAGCCCTGCCCAGGCCACGCTGACCAGTGCCAGCCAGGCCACGCTGACCAGAACCAGCCAGGCCACGCTGACCAGAACCAGCCAGGCCACGCTGACCAGTGCCAGCCAGGCCACGCTGACCAGCCCTGCCCAGGCCACGCTGACCAGAACCAGGCAGGCTGCAGTGACCAGTACCAGCCAGGCCACGCTGACCAGCCCTGCCCAGGCCACGCTGACCAGTGCCAGCCAGGCCACGCTGACCAGAACCAGCCAGGCCACACTGACCAGTGCCAGCCAGGCCACGCTGACCAGCCCTGCCCAGGCCACGCTGACCGTCGCCCGCCGGCCGCACGAGTGCCTGGACTGCGGCAAATCCCTGCAGCCGCGCCGCCGCTCCGGCCAGTCCGGTCACTCTGTCCAGTCCGGCCGCTCCGGCCGCTCCGGCCGCAGGCCCGCGGCGCCGGGCGTCCCCAACACGTGCGGCGAGTGCTGGCAGAGCTTCGGGCAGAGCTCGGACCTGGCCAAGCACCTGCGCATCCACACGGGCGAGAAGCCGTACGCCTGCGGGCACTGCGGCAAGCGCTTCAACGTCAGCTCCAACCTGATCCGGCACCGGCGCATCCACACCGGGGAGCGGCCGTACGGCTGCGCCGACTGCGGCAAGAGCTTCACCGACAAGTCCACGCTGAGCCAGCACCGGCGCACGCACACCGGGGAGCGCCCGTACGCCTGCGGGCTCTGCGGCAAGAGCTTCAGCCGCAGCTCGCACCACCGGCGCCAGGCCACACTGACCAGTGCCAGCCAGGCCACGCTGACCAGCCCTGCCCAGGCCACGCTGACCGTCGCCCGCCGGCCGCACGAGTGCCTGGACTGCGGCAAATCCCTGCAGCCGCGCCGCCGCTCCGGCCAGTCCGGTCACTCTGTCCAGTCCGGCCGCTCCGGCCGCTCCGGCCGCAGGCCCGCGGCGCCGGGCGTCCCCAACACGTGCGGCGAGTGCTGGCAGAGCTTCGGGCAGAGCTCGGACCTGGCCAAGCACCTGCGCATCCACACGGGCGAGAAGCCGTACGCCTGCGGGCACTGCGGCAAGCGCTTCAACGTCAGCTCCAACCTGATCCGGCACCGGCGCATCCACACCGGGGAGCGGCCGTACGGCTGCGCCGACTGCGGCAAGAGCTTCACCGACAAGTCCACGCTGAGCCAGCACCGGCGCACGCACACCGGGGAGCGCCCGTACGCCTGCGGGCTCTGCGGCAAGAGCTTCAGCCGCAGCTCGCACCACCGGCGCCACCAGCGCACCCACGCCGGGGGAACCGGGGGGGCTGGGGGTGCTGGGAGCACTGGGATGGGGGCTGGGGGCACCGGGGGGGTGACGCAGCTCTGGGGGTTCCCCAGCCAGGCTTGCTGAGCGGGGTTTTGGTCAGGAAAATTAAAGAGAATTTGGAATATTGGGGATTTTTGGTGTTTGCTGGTCGTGGTTACGGTGTCTTGGTCCCAGCCCAAATCCCAGTTCTGATCCCAATCCCAGTCCCAATCATGATCCCAGTCCCAGTTCTGATCCCAGTCCAATCCCAGTCCCAGACTTGGTCCCATCCCATCCCAGTCCATCCCAGCCCCATCCCATCCCAGTCCATCCCAGCCCCATCCCATCCCAGTCCATCCCAGCCCCATCCCATCCCAGTCCATCCCAGCCCCATCCCATCCCAGTCCATCCCAGCCCCATCCCATCCCAGTCCATCCCAGTCCCATCCCATCCCAGCCCCGTTCCCCTGCGGGCTCTGCGGCAAGAGCTTCAGCCGCAGCTCGCACCACCGGCGCCACCAGCGCACCCACGCCGGGGGAACCGGGGGTGCTGGGGGTGCTGGGGGCACCGGGGGGGTGACGCAGCTCTGGGGGTTCCCCAGCCAGGCTTGCTGAGAGGGTTTTGGTCAGGAAAATTAAAGAGAATTTGGAATATTGGGGATTTTTGGTGTTTGCTGGTCGTGGTTCCGGTGTCTTGGTCCCAGCCCAAATCCCAGTTCTGATCCCAATCCCAGTCCCAATCATGATCCCAGTCCCAGTTCTGATCCCAGTCCAATCCCAGTCCCAGACTTGGTCCCATCCCATCCCAGTCCATCCCAGTCCCATCCCATCCCAGCCCCGTTCCCCTGCGGGCTCTGCGGCAAGAGCTTCAGCCGCACCAAATCCCAATCCCATCCCAGTCCCAGTTTCAATCCCAATCCCAGTCCCAATCATGATCCCAGTCCCAGTTTTGGTCCCAGTCCCATCCCAATCCCAGTCCCAGTTTCGATCCCAATCCCAGTCCCAATCATGATCCCAGTCCCAGTTCTGATCCCAGTCCAATCCCAGTCCCAGACTTGGTCCCATCCCATCCCAGTCCATCCCAGCCCCATCCCATCCCAGTCCATCCCAGTCCCATCCCAGCCCCAGTTTCGATCCCAATTCCAGTCCCAATCATGATCCCAGTCCCAGTTCTGATCCCATCCCATCCCAGCCCCGTTCCCCTGCGGGCTCTGCGGCAAGAGCTTCAGCCGCAGCTCGCACCACCGGCGCCACCAGCGCACCCACGCCGGGGGAACCGGGGGTGCTGGGGGTGCTGGGGGCACCGGGGGGGTGACGCAGCTCTGGGGGTTCCCCAGCCAGGCTTGCTGAGAGGGTTTTGGTCAGGAAAATTAAAGAGAATTTGGAATATTGGGGATTTTTGGTGTTTGCTGGTCGTGGTTCCGGTGTCTTGGTCCCAGCCCAAATCCCAGTCCAGCCAGGCTTGCTGAGCGGGGTTTTGGTCAGGAAAATTAAAGAGAATTTGGAATATTGGGGATTTTTGGTGTTTGCTGGTCGTGGTTACGGTGTCTTGGTCCCAGCCCAAATCCCAGTCCCATCCCAGTTCTGATCCCAGTCCCAATCTTGGTCCCCGTCCCACTCATCATCCCGGTCCAAATCCCAGTCCCAGTGCCACCATCTTGGTCCCTGTCCCAGTCTTGGTCCCAGCCCAAATCCCAATCCCAGTCCCAATATTCGTCCCAGTCCCATCCCAGTCCCAGTCCCTATCCCAATCCTGGTCCCAGTCCCAATCATGATGCTGGTGCAAATCCCAGTCCCATCCCAGTGCCAATCCCAATCCCAGTCCCAATCCCAATCCCAGTCCCAGTTCCAGTTCTGATCCCAGTTCCAGTCCCAGTTCTGGTTCCAGCCCAAATCCCAATCCCAATCCCAGTCCCAGTCCCATCCCAGTCCTGATCTTTGTCCCAGTCCCAATCCCAATCCCAGTCCCAGTCCCAGTCCCAGTTCCACAATCCCAGTCCCAATCCCAGTCCTGATCTTTGTCCCAATCCCAATCCCAGTCCCAGTCGGACCATTCCCAATCATCCCATCCCAATCCCAATCCCAGTCCCAGTCCCAGTCCCAGTCCTGATCCCAGTCCCATCCCAGTCCCCCCAGTTCCCCGGACCCCAGGACCCTCCCCCTTTGATGACATCATCCCCACCCCGATGACGTCACAGTGATGTCACAGCACCCCACATTTTGGGGGGGATTTTGGGGGGGTTTATTAAAAGCCGGGGGGGCCCCGAGCGGGGCCGGGAGGGAAATTTGGCAAAATCCGCGCCCCCCCCCCAAAATAAATACACAGCATCGAGGGGGCGGGGCTTGGCTGCAGCAGCCAATCAGCACTGGCCACGCCCGGCCACGCCCCCACCGGGGGTCACGGCCTCGTCCGCTGTGGGGCAGTCGGGATCACCCCGGGGTCACTCCGGACACCACTTGGGGGTCAGTCCGGGCCCCACTTGGGGGTCAGCCCCACATCCTGCCATGGGTCAGTCCGGGCCCCACTTGGGGGTCAGCCCCACATCCTGCCATGGGTCAGTCCAGGCCCCACTTGGGGGTCAGTCCAGGCCCCACTTGGGGGTCAGCCCCACATCCTGCCATGGGTCAGTCCAGGCCCCACTTGGGGGTCAGTCAGGGCCCACTTGGGGGTCAGTCCGGGCCCCACTTGGGGGTCAGTTTGTCCCCACTTGGGGGTCAGTTTGGGCCCCGCTTGGGGGTCAGCCCCACATCCTGCCATGGGTCAGTCCGGGCCCCACTTGGGGGTCAGTTCCTGCCCCTCTTAGGGGTCAGTTGTGGCCGCACTTGGGGGTCAGCCCCACATCCTGCCATGGGTCAGTCCAGGCCCCACTTGGGGGTCAGTCCGGGCCCCACTTGGGGGTCAGTTTGTCCCCACTTGGGGGTCAGTTTGTCCCCACTTGGGGTCAGTTTGTTCCCACTTGGGGGTCAGTCCAGGCTCCACTTAGGGGTCAGTTTGTCCCCACTTGGGGGTCAGTCCAGGCCCCACTCGTGGCTCAGCTCCTGCCCCTCTCAGGGGTCACTCTGTCCCCACTTGGGGGTCACTCTCCCCACTTGGGGGTCAGTCCCTGCCCCACAGCCGGGTCCCCCGGGGGGCTGCAGGGCCGGGGGTCACTGCGGGGTCCCCCCGTGGGTCACTGCCAGACACTGGGGGTCACCCCAGGGGTCCGTGGGGTGCCGGGGGTCACTCCGGGCGGCTCTGGGGTCACTCCGGGTCACCACTGGACGCTGTGGGTCACTCCGGGCGGCCGTGGGGCTGCGCTGGTCACTCCGGGGGTCACTCCGGGGGTCACTCTGTTGGTCACTCTGATGGTCACTCTGGGGGTCACTCCGGGGGTCACTCCGGGGGTCACTCTGATGGTCACTCTGATGGTCACTCCGGGGGTCACTCCGGGGGTCACTCTGATGGTCACTCCGGGGGTCACTCAGGCTTGGGGGGCTCCGTTGGTCACTCAGGGTGGTTGTGGGGCTGTGCTGGTCACTCCGGGGGTCACTCTGCTGGTCACTCCGTGGGTCACTCCCGTGGTCACTCCGTTGGTCAGGGGGCGTGGGCGGGGCGCTGTGCTGGTCACTCCCCTGGTCACTCCGTTGGTCACTCGGCTGGTCACTCCCGTGGTCACTCCCCTGGTCACTCCGTGGGTCACTCCGTGGGTCACTGCCCTGGTCACTCCCCTGGTCACCCCGTTGGTCACTCCCGTGGTCACTCCGTGGGTCACTCCGTGGGTCACCCCATGGGTCACTCCGTTGGTCACTCCCCTGGTCACTCCGTTGGTCACTCCGTGGGTCACTCCCCTGGTCACTCCGTTGGTCACTCCGTTGGTCACTCCCGTGGTCACTCAGTGGGTCACTCCGTTGGTCACTCCCCTGGTCACTCCCCTGGTCACTCCCGTGGTCACTCCCCTGGTCACCCCGTTGGTCACTCCGTTGGTCACTCCCGTGGTCACTCCCCTGGTCACCCCGTTGGTCACTCCGTTGGTCACTCGGCTGGTCACCCCGTTGGTCACTCCGTTGGTCACTCCCGTGGTCACTCCGTGGGTCACTCTGTTGGTCACTCCATTGGTCACTCCGTTGGTCACTTGGCTGGTCACTCCATGGGTCACTCCCCTGGTCACTCCGTGGGTCACCCCTCTGGTCACCCCTCGTGTCCGGCCCCGCGGGCGGGGTGCTGTGCTGGTCACTCCTGTGGTCACTCCGTGGGTCACTCCCCTGGTCACTCCGTTGGTCACTCAGGGTGGTTGTGGGGCTGTGCTGGTCACTCTGATGGTCACTCTGTTGGTCACTCGAGGGGTCACCCCGCTGGTCACTTGGCGCGGGTGGGGCGCTGTGCTGGTCACTCCAGGGGTCACTCCCGTGCTCACTCAGCTGGTCACTCCCCTGGTCACTCCGTGGGTCACTCCGTGGGTCACTCCTGTGGTCACTCCCGTGGTCACTCCGTGGGTCCCTCCCCTGGTCACTCCCGTGGTCACTCCGTGGGTCACTCCCCTGGTCACCGCTCGTGTCCGGCCCCGCGGGCGGCGCACTGTGCTGGTCACTCCGTGGGTCACTCCCGTGGTCACTCCGTGGGTCACTCCGTTGGTCACTCGGCTGGTCACTCCCGTGGTCACTCCCCTGGTCACTCAGCTGGTCACCCCTCGGGTCACCCCGGGGGTCCGGCCCCGCGGGCGGCGCGCTGTGCTGGTCACTCCCGTGGTCACTCCGTTGGTCACTCGGTTGGTCACTCCCGTGGTCACTCCCGGGGTCACCCCTGGTGTCCGGCCCCGCGGGCGGCGCGCGCAGCTCGGCCGAGAGCGCCTCGAAGGCGCGCAGCATGGCGCCGCGCACGCGCTCCGTCAGCGCCGGGACGTCGGCCGGGCCCAGGCCCCGCGTGGGCAGCGGCGGCAGCACCTGGATCACGCACTGCCCTGGGGAGGGGTCAGCCCGGACACCGGGACCCCAGACCCACAGAGACCCCAGACCCACAGCCACGGGGGGACCCAGAGCCGGGGACAGACCCCAGACCCATAGAGAGACCCCAGAGCCACGGGGGGACCCCAGACCCAGAGCCACGGGGGGACCCAGAGCCACGGGGGGACCCAGAGCCACAGAGAGACCCCAGAGCCACAGAGACCCCAGACCCATAGAGAGACCCCAGAGCCACGGGGGGACCCCAGACCCAGAGCCACGGGGGGACCCAGAGCCACGGGGGGACCCAGAGCCACAGAGAGAAGCCCCCCATAGCCCCCCAGCCCCCACCCCCCCGTACCTGGGCCTGCACGGCCAGGTGGAAGGCGCCGCGCTTGAAGGGCAGCATGGAGCCGCTGTGGTTGCGCGTGCCCTCGGGGAACACCCACACGCGCACCTGTGGGGCAGGGCGGTTGTGGGGCTGCCCCACAGCTGCCCCGGAGCCGCCCCA